GAAGCTTTTGCTGAGTTGTCACACCAAACAGAAGTCTTACAGGTATACAAAGGGTCTCGTTGATAACAGGTGTCAGTCAAAAGTATAGACTTGATGTTGGCATCCCAAAAACTGGCATTAAAAATAAAAGAATTGTTGAATAACAATAGTACTACCATATTTTCATTACTCAAGACAAAGTAAAGCATCATGTTCTGTTATGTTTCTCCAGGTAAAGATTGAACCATTTCTATTTTGGCTTCACAGTGATAGGCTACTTCAGTCATACTTACCATGAAAGTTTTAACATGAAATTAAAAATAAAATGTAAAATACAACAATGTATCTCAAATGGACATTTTCAGTGAATTTGCCTTAATTCTAGGTTGGATTTATGAAATTCTCACATTGTGAATTTCCTTGGGCTGAATTTCCACATGATGTATTGAGTATGTCATGCAATTTGCAGTTTGTGTGCCTACATGATGTAATCGGTATATGGTAGTTTAGAGAGTAACAGTCAAGTTTCTGCTACAGATATAAGATAACCTGACCTCTAAACGTAAAACAAGTCAGAATTCTGAAAAAAGTCAATTTCCAATTGGCACAGGACTTTACAGTGGGGTTGGCACCAACAAGGTCAATGCCAGCCACAAATCAGTCTCCCACTGAGGGGAGATCGCAGTGATCCTTGTTACTTCTTCCTGTTAAAACCTAGATAATAACCATTGGGAGGGTAGATTTTAGGACTTTCATCTGACTTTGACCAAGTGGTAACTATTTCTCACCTCAAAGTGTCTGACTTTGCAAATGCTGTCTCTACATTTGTCAAATTTAGGCCAGTGGGTTTTCCCTTGAAGTTCCACATGAACTCAACAGGTACGTACTGTGAATATGTCTTAACCTCCTCAAACATTTTAACATAATTGCTCATGGCATCTTGTTCATCCTCTCTTCCAATCACTGCCAGATAATTTCCTTTGTTTTCATAAATCAACCCTTGCGTTTCAACAAATGTATTAAAATAATCCTTTACTGGTTGCCTGTATTCTCTTTGGGAGTCCTTCTGAAGGTTGAAGTTTGATATACAATCCATAATGATTGCAATCTTGACTGTGCCACCCTGAAGAACCTTAGAGATACCATCAACGAATGCCTTACTTCCACAGCTTTTGTTGCATACTGCATTGCCCTGTTGCACATTAAATGTTTCAGAACGATCAAAGGCAACAAATATAATGCTGTGATTCTGAACACACTTGTCCTTTCCTGCAGAGGAAAAAAGTAAGAATCTTGACCCTATCACAACTACAATCTGAATATTAATTCTCTCTAGCTAGTGCCTACCCTACATTGCAAACAATTTTGGTGTTACCAGTGAATCAAATGAGAACTTGTGGATGTCGTATATATTTGTCCTCATCAATGCTCTGGTTGACGAGAAATCACCTCACCATCACTCCTGGGATTGGAAATTTTGAAAGGGGCTGGGTCATACAATGAGTATCTGCACCAGGCTCTTCCATTTGCCTACCTATGTGCCAAATTGCTACCTTTTTTCACCAGATTGACAAGATGCAGAGTATGCGGGTAAATGAAGGAATGGTATCATACTCATCATCAATAGCATGTACATCATGAGAAAAATTGTTTCATTATTTAACAGGTTACTTAAATTAAAGAGCATATATGCAAGACATAACCCAACCCCCTTCAAATAAACTGATATGGATTTCTACCCAGTAGAGCTAAGGTTGACTTAAATTTTATACCATTGCACTGCAATGGCACAGGTAAAATGGGTCATTTGTTGGACATGGCTAAACAGGAAATAGAAGAATTCACCTGTGAGATCTTCAGCCAGAGTAAGAAGAGCTGTGAGACCAGAGCCGTCATTGTTAACACCATACTGCTGAAGACCTTGTGTATCAAGATGAGCTCCAAGGATGATGGCATCATCATTTGCAGTACCAAAGAACTGACCTTTAAGAATGCCTATCACATTTGTGCCACTAGCAGTCTGAAACAAAATTCAGGCAAGTCAACAGATTTACTCAGTATCATCCAAGATAAAAGTCTGAGTGACATTTATTAACCCTTTCACCCCCAAGATCTGATTAGTAATTCTCCTTACTATCTGCCATACAATTCTCTTATGATGTTAGTTCAGAGAATTTGGTATTGGATTAACTACTAATCCCATGATTGATATTCTTTATCACCTGCCTGCTTGATATTGTTTTGATATTGTTAGGAGAAATTCTGTCTTGGTCACTTGTGAGAGTGAAAGGGTTAACAACGGTTCTGTACATCAAGTTTGTCAAAAAGTTTCTTAGTCATGTGAAATTATCATGGGTTTGACAAATTGCCCCCTTAACTTGCATGTCACTCGAATATAAACATAAAAGCTAGTATACTTTACTATCAAGGCCATAGCTAGATTTTGTCAGAGGGTGCAATGATGTGAGTGCCAGAGAGAACCCTCTGGAGCCCCCTTTAGAGTATACCTCCTGGATTAAAAAGGTGTCGAAATTGACAATGACATGATAAACAGAGAGGGTTGTCCTTCAATTTGCTTTCCTTTTGTTTGCTTTTTCATCAAGGCAAATAAATTCATTGTTAAAAGTTTCAAAGGAAGATCAGTTAACTTCAAACTATCTGCATAACACAAGTACTCAAAAAAGAGTTGAAATTTGTTTGCATATTATTTTGGGCCAACTGCTCTCCTGCCAATCTGCTTGCAACAGCTTCTGAAAAGAGTTGGATGTGTGCAGGTTCAATCAGTATAACATAACAGCTTACCTGTCCTGTTGTTGTGTCACTTGTGGTAAAATTTTGCAAGTCTACGTCTAATCCTACACTTTCAAACTTCTCCTTCATAAAAATAGTTGCATTCTGTAAATTTTCTTTTCCATCTGGTCGGTAGTGGGTACGACTGGTCTCAAACCTTTCCAAATACATCTCATATTTTCTTTTATCTGCCACAGGAATCCTATCAGCAGCTGAAACCGACAACACGGACATCTGCTAAATATTTGTAAGTAGTTTGATGTAATTTTAGACAATGTTTAAAAAAAAGAAAACAAACACACAAACCAACAAAAAAAT